GTCGTTTGCAACTTCCGGTTCACGGGGACTTTAAATAAACGAACTATACAAGTAGTTGTGTCTCTTTGTATTAATTTGTCCTGTTATTGACGTAATGCGCGTCATTGACAAAATGCGCAACCAGATATTCGAATAGTTCGAATATATGTGTTTTTTTTAGAGGGAATATTCGAACGTCATTTTTGAGCAATTTTGACAGCCCTAGTGCCAATAGGCAGTAGCGGTCGATAGGGCGTCTATATGATGTCTGGTGCAGACTATTAAAGTTTAACAGTGATAAGCACCCCCCGGAAAAGGCATATAAGGTCTGGCATAAGGAATATACATTTGTTTATAGTTTGTTGTTATTAATATCTGTATTTTACTGTATGTTATTGGTAATATATAACGGAGAGAGAGTTTGTATGAGTCGTTAATGCGAGCTTTAGTATTTCCTTTGTTCAGCTCTTATGGTGATTTGTGAGGTAATTATTGAGATAATTATTGGAGTGAAGCGGACTCAATAAACTTAATCAACATCAGTAAAGTTTTGTCCATCATTCGGGAGGGGTCTGCTACATATTATAAACATTTGTCAACTATAAAGCATTGCAATAAGCCTACTTAAAATGAATGTTGTTCACTTTTAACTTGTTTAAAGGCTGTTATCCATTACGATACGTTTGTAATACTGAAATGAATTTCTTTTGAATCATGTTTAAAAAAATGAAAGTGTTTTTCAATAAAAGGGATGCTGTTTGTTTATACCTGTGCTGTATTGTTTCTGTGGTATACTTACGGGTTACATTTTCACATAATAAAAAAAAAAATTAAAGCTGAAATAGTATGTTAAAAGCAGATTTTAGTTCTTCTTCAGTGTGTTTAAAAATAGCATAGAGTTGATCTTAAAGGAGTAGTTCACTTTAAAAAAAAAACTTTTGCTGATAATTTACTCACCCCGATGTCATCCAAGATGTCCATGTCTTTCTTTCTTCAGTCTAAAATAAATTAAGGTTTTTGAAGAAAACATTCCAGGATTTTTCTCCATAATGCACTTTACTGGGTACCAGATGGTTCAAGGTCCAAAAGACAGTTTCAGTGCAAACTGCAAACTGTTCAAAGGGCTTCAAACGATTCCAGACGACGAATAAGGGTCTTATCAAGCGAAACGATCGGTGATTTAAAAAAAATAAAAAAAGTTTAAGTTTTATAAGCCCAAACGCTCGTCTTGCTCTGTTCTGTGATGCACGTTCGTGACTCTCCTGTTCGAACTCGTTCATCAAAATGAACAAATCTTTTTTCGAGTCATTTGGTTGATTCAACGAACGAAATGAATGAATTGACTCGAAAAAAGATTTGTTCATTTTGATGAACGAGTTCGAACAGGAGAGCCACGATGACATGGGGGTGAGTAAATTATCAGCGAAAGTTTTTTTAAAAGTGAACTACTTTTTAAGTTTATCTTAAGAAATACTAAAGTTAAGCTTTTAGTATATTAAGTACAAAATAAGTGTGCGAAAATAGAGCACTTTAAGTACGTTATGGAAGTGTACTTAAATAAAATGTATTTTAGTGAACTTTTTTTTTTCACCTAGGTTTTCCTCTGGACATTTCTGTTTGCATCAACAATATCAGATTTAATCAGTTAAATCAGACGAACCCAAAGGATACATGCATCTCTACAGTAAATACAGATGTTCATGCAACAGAACCTTGACAGAATGTTAGCTAAAGTTCTCTGTTAACTGGGTTAGTGTTTGATGCAAATATTCATACGAAACCTTGAGTTTAGCAGGTGTCTGAGGATTCTTGGTTTGCTTCATCATTGGTGGTCCATTGCTAAAGCCCAGGACCTACACAACATTGTTATGGTAGAGTTAATAAAGATTACTTTAACATGTATTGTGAATGCACAACTCAAATACTCATTAGAATAGTTTAAAAGAAAAGACAATCAAAAGATGTCAAACACATTCTTTGTTGATTTTGGCCCTCAGGCCTTTGATAATTGAGTGAAAAGAGTGATTAATTGCTGACACTTTACTGTTTATGCCAGGCTTGGAACTCAAATTACAAAGATATCGAATACTTCCCTACGGCAAAAAAGTAGTATGCACAGTATTTCAAAAACAGTAGGCGAAAAGTCCCCGGATGACCTTCCACGGTTCTGAAGAGCGCATTCGTTAGACACTTTTCTATCCCATGAGGCCACAGGAGAGGATTTATGTATGGTGGTAAAGCTATGCAACTTATTCTCGTAGGTCACATGACAGTAACAACATGACGTAATATGTCTGGATTACATTCATACTTCATTCAACACGCTTTAAAAATAAAATAAAAATCATATTATGTATTATCATAGGACAGTGCAATACTCCGAAATGGAGGAAATGATCTTTATTGTGTTTGTTTGTTGTAGGTTTATTACAAAACAATAAAACAATGCAGTTCAATGAAAACAATGCAGACCACTTTCAAGTGATGGGGACGAGACTGGCTATGCCGAGTCCGTTGGTTTTCAAATACAGTCGAGACCGAGTCAAGGCCGAGTCTTTGAAGGGTCGAGTCCGAGTCGAGACCGAGTCCGTTGTTTTTCAAATACAGTCGAGTCCGAGTCAAGACCGAGTCTTAGAGGAAACAAGTCCGAGTCGAGATTTTGTCTCGACGTGTCAGTTTTGATATTCATGATTTAATATCACCCCAGTTAATAATCAACTGTTAGGCCTTTGCATTGCATCATGGGATGTCATTTTCAAATAATGCCCGTCAACATTGCATTTTATTATTGTTGTTATGTGTTGTGGCGTCGGAACCATTGTATATATGGGGGGGACAAGACCCACCCACTTTTTAAGACCAATGATATTGGACCCACTCACCTTTACTGTCTCTAATTCAGCGCATATGTCTGCTCACTTTTCAGTCACTTGCAGTGATCTAATTGATTACTATTCCCATCTTAATAACGCCGTTACCGCCAAAAAATGCGTTACTATATAGGGCTGTGTAACGATACACCAAACCCACGATTCGGTTCGTATCACGATTTTTGACGCACAATTCGATGCAAACCTCGATTCTTTTGGGGCTGTGGTGACGCAGTGTGACACGTTCATGTGTAACATGTAAGGGTGGCGCTGCCAATAAAGCACCTAAAAGCTGTCACAAAGAACCGGCAAAAGTAATGATAATGAATATGTTATGCTGGTGCAGTTGAAGCAAGGAGGAAGCAGGATCCAAATGCAGAACACACACTTTATTCAACAAACTGGAAACTAGGCAAAGACTCAGGCTAGGAACAAGACTCAGGCACAAAACACAAAACACTAACATCAACACTTCAGCTACAAAACAAAACAAACAAGAACTCACAACGGCAGGACTGAAACACAGGGCTTAAATACAGGGGCAAACGATCTAAACATGGTAACAATGGGGTTAATCGGGGACACCTGGGAAGACTAATAGACTTAATGGGGAGCGGGAAACAGGACTAAACCAAAAACACAAAGAACGGGGAAACAGAGAATTCATAACACAAATATAGCAAGGAGAAATTTTAATTGTTTATTAATAAACAAGTGTTTTTGTGTGTGTCGGCTGAAAAGAGTAGCTTTGCAGTAGTGAACGCGCCAGAGAGAAATGCACGCCAGAGAGAAATTTCATACGCATTAAATAAGCAGAGAGCAGTCTGTTTTCTTTCGTTTTGAATTGTTCTGTTTAAAAGCTTTCTATATATATATTTTTTTTCAGGTCTGTGAGGCAAGTAGGCTACCTTATACTTATAGGCTACGCTGAGTTTCGGTTCATTTATGAGACGAGCTCCAGTTCACGCGCCGGCGCCTCCGTGTCGTGATTATTGTCTGCTATATTTACTTCTTATTTATTAAATCCAGGCAATTGGTTGATGAAACATTGATTAAAATTAAGATACAATTAATACAAAACGAATTTCACTTTAAAGAAAGGCTTTGTGCTTTCTGTTTGAGGTCTGTGGAAGTTTTAAAGCAGTCTTTAAAGCAGTGCCGCTTTCCCAGAGCAGTCACGTCCGTAACGGAGAACTGTCATCGTGTCCTAAGCGCAAGTCTCAGGTTCCTATGGGACATCATACGACGTTTAAAACATTTAAATAGACACATCATGTAGTAATTAATGTATATTAATCTTAGTTGATAATAGGCTATTAGAACTGGTTGCTGAGACAGAGACGCGCAGATACGGCAATTAACGCGCTGTTTGATTTGTGATCGTGCTGTGCTTATTCAATTAATTCGAGTAGCCTGTATATTGAACAAAGCTTAAATCATTTAAATATACATACAATAATATACAATGTCCTATTTGAGTTGATATTACTCTTGCCAAGCTGTGGTTTCTGAGAGATGCACGCATAGACGGATTTGTGCTCGTTTCATTTTTACTCTCACTCATGCACTTCACTCATTATTGCATATATATTTTAGATAAGGTATTTGGCTTCGGGAACACCCCTAATCTACTCCAGTAAAAAAAAAAAATCTGGAGGATGACCCACCCATATTTTTTTTGCTTCCGACGCCCATGTGGTTTTTTTTATATGAACAAAAAAAATGCGTTGGAAAAAAAAATCTCGAGGACTCTGTCTGAAATTACGAGTCCTTCTCCTCCCACTGTGGTCCGAGACCGAGTCAAGACCGAGTCTTTGAAGGGTCGAGTCCGAGACGAGTCCGAGAAAGCAGAAATCGGTCTCGAGACCGGACTCGAGTACTACATCACTACCACTTTCTGGAATACATGCACTCGTTGCCCAAAGGCTGGCATCACTTCCTGGTCCCTCTGTCTCTCTACTTTCCCATCACCCTCTTTTAAAAGTATATTGTGTGAGATCACCTTATTCATCTGAGCCGCTGTGTTTTCTCTTGCACCGAGCGACACCATGGCCAGAGCGGAAGAGATGCTGACAGGAGAGAAGAACACATTTCCCGATGCGTTTTCTTCGCTGATCGTCTTGAACAGGTCGAGGCTGAACTGTGTGTTTGCAGCAGTCAAAAGCTCCATTTTCACAAGCTAGAAAGTAAGAGAGAGAAAAAATATCACCATGTGAAAATCTCAAACAGAGCATTGTTCAGGTCAGTTGTCATTTACTATGTAAACATCATCACATGCTTGTCTAAGAAAATAAAACAGTAGTAGAACAGTAGTTTTTCCATTATTTTCATCCTTACACACAAAGAACTGTAATGTAAAAATCTGTTTGATTCAAGCACTTCCTAGAGTTTTTTAGCAGGAACGATGATGTTCTGTCGGAGGTAAATGAATGATGTGCTGAGTCACAATGTTTCCTTCTAGTGAATATTGCCTCGCCCTGAAGAGCCCATCCTCTAAATCAATCAGCCCTTCTGTAAAACGTCTCGGGTTACTCAACCAAAGATGAGGGAATGAGAGGATATGCGTGTGTGACGTCAACCGCACCGAGTGACTGCGGTTATGCCCACTGAGCGGGAAAAGTCTAAGGGCATGGGCGTAGGTTTGGTCTCAGCTTTGGTGGGGACATCCCCCGCCCCCAATAACCCCCCCCCCCCCCCCCCTGGAAATTATTTTGTTGTAAGATAAGTAACAGTGCTTTAATGGTGATTTCCTTTGTCATTTCTATTGTTCTCAATTGTAAGTCGTTGGATAAAAAGTGTCTGCTAAATGAATAAATGTAAATCTGTTGTGGTTTGATGCTGTCTTTCCTGCATACAAAATGGTTAATTAATTTTGAAAGTCTATCCTATGGCTAGCAAGTTTAACCCTCCTACCAGATATTGTTATTTTGGATATTATCAATCAAATAATGATTCATTATATTTGAATAACCAACAGTGTTAACTTTTGCCTTTTTAACATTGCCAACATGTTTTTCCAGCACATGTGTCTAAGCAAGTAGGATACACTCACAAATACATTACATAAACAGAATGTAGAAACGAAAAACGTCTCAGATGATCCACTGTTTATGACGGCAAGATTCTAAATTAAGGTAGGCTAATTAACATTCAGTGACTTGCTAACGTCTATCATGATAGCGCGACTTCTATGAGTCTATCCGTGCTGCACACCCCTAATTAATGCTCCAAACCTTGAAAGATTGCAGAAGCTTCAAGCTAGGTTTAACTGTAAAAATATCCTGGGTAACCAGGATCACCAGTTAATACTATTTTCCACTAGAATCTGCATTTGAAAGCCTGGTCAGTCACTACTACTGCTAGTTATTTTTGCCTACTTACACTCTGCTTTATGAAAAAGCTTCGTATGTCCCCTTTCTTCTTCTTGGGTGACATAGCTGATCTACAAAGTACAAAAAGGGGCAAAAAAAACGGAATATTAAAATGTTTTACTCTGGCCTTTGTATATGGCACGCAGAGACAGCCCTGGTAACTTACCGTCGGCGTCGTCACGCGCGCACACACACACCACCCGCTCGCTCGCTGCCAGTGAGTGCAAGCACAAAAAGTAGTCCCGGTCCGCGCGTGTAGCCTGCCTGTCAGATACCCCGCCGCCAATCAAATTACGGCGTATCTTGTACTGTCGTCGTCCTGGCCGTTGGAATCGATCCAAATGGCAGCGCAAAGATCCAAATGCAGCACAAATATCAAAATAGCAGTTCAAAGGAGCTTGCTAAATATTGGTGGGGACAAATTTGTCATCTCAAAATATTGATTGGGACTAGTACCTAGCGTCCCCCCCTAAACCTACGCCCTTGTCTAAGGGCCCTATTTTAACGATCTGAAACGCAAGTGTCAAAGCGCAAATGTAACGGAGGCCAGCTAGTAGTTGCTGTGCGAGTAAACCTCACTCCTCTGATCTCAAAAGGCTCTCTAGCGACAGATGCTAGAGGCTGCAGTCTTTAGCCTCCTTGTTAGAGCACCTGACTCTCATGCCGGAGACCCGGGTTCGAGGCCCGCTCGGAGCGGGTCGAGTGGGACCCGGGTGGAGGGGTTACATTGGTGCCGTGACCCGGATGGGAGTGAGGTTTAGGGGGGTGAGTGTAACGGAGGCCAGCTAGTAGTTGCTGTGCGAGTAAACCTCACTCCTCTGATCTCAAAAGGCTCTCTAGCGACAGATGCTAGAGGCTGCAGTCTTTAGCCTCCTTGTTAGAGCACCTGACTCTCATGCCGGAGACCCGGGTTCGAGGCCCGCTCGGAGCGGGTCGAGTGGGACCCGGGTGGAGGGGTTACACAAAGCGCAAGTAACTTTGTGGGCGGATCCCGGCGCTGTTGCTATTTTCCCGGCGGGATAAATGCCTCTTGCGCCTGGCGCAAATCTAAAAGAGGTTGGTCTGAAGTAGCTTCATTATTCATAGGTGTGGTTTGGGCGTAACGTGGAATAAACCAATCAGAGCGTCATCTCACATTCCCTTTAAGAGCAGGTGCGCATGTTGCATGGCGGATTGCTATTATAACGGCGGATTTACCAGGCGCGCGTCAGAGCGGTTCACAGCCGAGGAGACCGACGTTCTTGTCAGGACCGTGAAAGACAGAGAAGTGACGTTGTATTGCGTGTTTTGCGTGCACCTGTAAACTATGGCATAAACCCTCATGCAGTAACACCCTCAGACGGCACTGTTTATTGACTGTCTGAAGTAGAATGCATGCAGAAATAACAAGAAATTCAACGTTCAAATCAGACTTATCTATCTATTTATCTCTCTCTCTCTATCTATCTATCTATCTATCTATCTATCTATCTATCTATCTATCTATCTATCTATCTATCTATCTATCTATCTATCTATCGTGGGTGGGTTTCTCCCATCCCCATACAAATCAGCGTCGGTTAAACAGGCGTGGGAGGAAAAAAACTAAATTGTCATGGACACCACAATGATTTCCCTCATGTGTTAATATTTTTCCTTGTTATAATGTATGATTTGCAAAAATAAAAACTGCTGCATCTGTGTTGATGAGAGAATCAAAGTGTATGTGCGTTGTGCACCCGCTGCATTATGGCCAAGCATGCGCGCTTAAAATAGCATAATGAACAACGCGCAACGCGCCACTGACTTTAGACTAGTTTTTTTCTGGTCAGTGGCGCAATTGTTTTATAGAACAGCAAAATAGCATGAGGGAAAGTTTGCGCCGGAACACGCCTCCTCTTTGCGCTGAACCGCCCCGGGGAGCGCAAGTGTATTTCTTAGTTAACCGACGTGTGTCTGTGGAGGGAAAAGTCCGCTTTGCGCGGGTGCAAAATAGGAATGATACATGCGTCAGTGTACAAAGTCATTTGCGCCGAGTGCAAGATAGAGCCCTAAGTGAACATATTTTGATTACCAAAAACCAGGACACTCGGCCCGGCAAACAGATACTCAAATGATACTTGAAGTTTACTCAAAGGTGCCTTATTAATTTCAAAACATTTAAAGTAGGCTATGCCTCATCTGTATGAATAGAAAATTGTTATATTACAAGACACAAATTCAGATAGGCTTCTCAGAGGTTACTCAACATGTTTTATTATGACAGGTTTAAAAAATAATTAATGACATAATGATAGAAATAATGTCTCTTCTATATTAGAAAAATACATATATAAATAATAAATAACTAAAACAAATACCTTCAAATTGAAAAAAAAAGCTCTCACAAACTTACAAAACCGAACTAACAATATGTATACTTATTCTTCCTCTTTATCCTGTTTTCTTCCTCATCCTGCTTGTTTGCCCATCTATATTTTGCTGTAGAGCTGATCTTTCCCAGCATGTTTTTGAAAACCAGGAAGTTTTCATTACTTTATAAAAAAACAGCCAGGACGGCCAGGAAAGGACGTAAAACCAGGACATGTCCTGGGAAAACAAGACTGTTGGTCACCCTGGTCTAAGTGGTAGCAATGGTTTTCAGCGTGAAGGCCGTGAAAAACACACACACACACAACACATATTATATATCCATCCATCTATCCATCTTCTTCCGCTTATCCAAGGCCGGGTCGCGGGGGCAGCAGTCTAAGCAGAGATGGCCAGACTTCCCTCTCCCTAGACACTTCCTCCAGCTCTTCCTGGGAGACACAGAGGCGTTCCCAGGCCAGCCGGGAGACATAGTCCCTCCAGCGTGTCCTAGGTCTTCCCCGGGGTCTCATCCCAGTGGGACGTGCCCGGAACACCTCCCCGGGAAGGCGTCCAGGAGGCATCCGGAACAGATGCCCGAGCCACCTCAGCTGACCCCTCTTGATGTGGAGGAGCAGCGGCTCTACACTGAGCTCCTCCTGGGTGACCGAGCTTCTCACCCTATTTATAAGGGATCGCCCAGCCACCCTGCGGAGAAAGCTCATTTTGGCCGCCTGTATCTGGGATCTTGTCCTTTCGGTCATGACCCAAAGCTCATGACCATAGGTGAGAGCAGGAACGTAGATTGACAATCAATCTCCCGTTCCATCCTTCCCTCACTCGTGAACAAAACCCCAAGATACTTAAACTCCTCCACTTGAGGCAGGATCTCTCCAACAACCTGAAGTGGGCAAGCCACCCTTTTCCGACTGAGGACCATGGCCTCGGATTTGGAGGTGCTGATTTTCATCCCAGCCGCTTCACACTCGGCTGCAAACCGCCCCAGTGCACGCTGAAGGTCCTGGTCTGAAGGGGCCAGCACGAAAACATCATCCGCAAAGAGCAGAGACGAAATCATGTGGTCCCCAAACCTGACACCCTCCGGCCCCTGGCTGCGCCTAGAAATTCTGTCCATAAAAATTATGAACACAACCGGCGACAAAGGGCAGCCCTGCCGGAGTCCAACATGCACCGGGAAGAAGTCTGACTTACTGCCGGCAATGCGAACCAAGCTCCTGCTTCGGTCATACAGGGACCCATACTCCCGGAGCACCCTCCACAGGCCGCCACGAGGGACACAGTCGAATGCCTTCTCCAAATCCACAAAGCACATGTGGATTGGTTGGGCAAACTCCCATGAACCCTCCAGCACCCTGTAGAGGGTGTAGGCCTCAGCTAGGGTGATGGACGAGTCCACCTCTGAGCCCCCAGCCTCTGCTTCCTCAATGGAAGACGTGACGGCGGGATTGAGGAGATCCTCGAAGTATTCCTTCCACCGTCCGATGACATCCCCAGTTGAGGTCAACAGCCGCCCACCTCCACTGTAAACAGCGTTGGTAGGGCACTGATTCTCTCTCCTGAGGCGCCGGACAGTTTGCCAGAATCTCAGCCGATAGTCCTTCTCCATGGCCTCACCGAACTCCTCCCACTCCCAGGCCCGAGTTTTTGCCTCCACAACCACCCGGGCTGCAGTCCGCTTGGCCTGCCCGTACCCGTCAGCTGCCTCAGGAGTCCCACAAGCCAACCAGGCCCGATAGGACTCCTTCTTCAGCTTGACGGCAACCCTTACTTCCGGTGTCCACCACCGGGTTCGGGGATTACCGCCTCGACAGGCACCGGAGACCTTACGGCCACAGCTCCAAGCAGCCGCTTCGACAATGGATGTGAAGAACATGGTCCACTCGGACTCAATATCTCCAGCCTCCCTCGGGATCCGGTCGAGGCTCTGCCGGAGGTGGGAGTTGAAGATCTCTCTGACAGGCGACTCGGCCAAACGTTCCTAGCAAACCCTTACAGTACGCTTGGGTCTGCCGAGTCTGTCCAGCTTCCTCCCCCGCCATCGGATCCAACTCACCACCAGGTGGTGATCAGTTGACAGCTCTGCCCCTCTCTTCACCCGATTGTCCAAGACATACGGCCGCAGGTCAAATGAAACGACCACAAAGTCAATCATCGACCTACGACCTAGGGTGTCCTGGTGCCACGTGCACTGGTGGACACCCTTATGCTTGAACATGGTGTTCGTTATGGACAAACTGTAACTAGCACAGAAGTCCAATGACTGAACACCGCTCCTGTTACTCCCAATCACGCCCCTCCAGGTGTCACTGTCTTTGCCCACGTGAGCGTTGAAGTCCCCCAGTAGAACGACGGAGTCCCCAGTCTAAACTGGGGGGCTATAAGTAAACCCACACCAGCCCGTCGCCTAGCTCTCACCATGGGCAACTCCAGTTTATCAAGGTATTCACGGAAAGCCAGCAAAGAAAAAGGAGGCGAATCAGGGCTGACAAGAGACAAGACACTGATATTGTTTACTTTGTTTGAGGGGCTTCATTATTGATAATAAATGTTTTTTTTTTTTTTTTGTCTCTTTCTTTGTAGTTGCAACCAGTGACACACGCCTGAACACACTACCAATTTTAATGTATTTCCCATTTTACTCAATAGAAATTCTCAAAAAATTACTTTATTATTTAAACCACAGTATTTATTGATTTGGTTCCTCTACAGCTTCCTCTGCTAGTTCGTTGAGCAATCTTGCTGGAGGTTGTGGTTCATGATGGTGATGTTGCAATCCGCACTGTCGCCCTTACATGCAGTTGCTTCAACAACATTATGTGCACAGAGAGTTCCCGGCAAGAGGCTCACTTTCGGTGGTTGGACTGTAGGTTTTATTAGTGTTTTATTACCATTCCCATCTTTCTATATCTAGGTAAATGACAGCTCTGTCTGTTTCTTTCACAATTAATGTATAACATTTGTCAATACATTGCTGCAGTTTAAAGGCAATTGCCTGTGAATGAGGTCACCCAAATTTTTTAATACATTTATCAGGTGTGGTGAACTGGAAGGCAGTTAGTGAGAACTTTAGTGAGAGCTTCAGAACCCTGTACAGGTTTTATTACTCAATAGTGTGACACCCTGTACAGGGATCATGGTGCTGGCTACAGAGGGAGAGGACAACGACTTTGAGGGTTTTACTGTGACGATGCCTTCAAGGGATATTGTGGACGCGACTGAAGGCTGGAGGAAACATCTAATGTTTCAAATTTGTTTTTAATTTTTAGTTTGTTTTTATTACATACCTTTTAGAGAATATTGCACTTAAAATGAGGATTTGTTTTAGTTTTGTAATTGGGTAGTGGCTATGTGATCAATAAAGTGATCATAAAGTTTTTTTTTTGCCACTTTCATTTCTTTGATATTAATTTCTAAAATAATAAAATAAAAATAAAATAATTTGTTTTATTCGTGTTATCGGTTTGTGGCTATGTGGTCAATAAAGTGATCCTAATATTTCAAGTTTTCTGTGTAGTCATTTCAGGTTGACAAATTTTCTTTAGGCCTATATTTAATCCATTTTACAATGTCAGTTAAATATCAGTAATGCACATAAAGCTCATTCTGTAAAAATATGGTAAGACACACCAATTCAATCATGTGCTTCTGTATTTATCATGTTGGTGTAAAAAAAAAACCGAATACACTTACAATAATAATGTTAATTATAAATAACTTAATACGCCAAATGTACAACACTATCTACATTGCAAGTTGCATATTGCATATACATATTGCATATTGCATATACATTGCATATTCATGCAAGTGTGATCTGTGTTTGACAACAAACTACAGAAGTCTTTCTTTTCCAGCTGCTGAGTGTTAATGGACAGACATCCTGGAGTGAGTTTAAAGCTGCAGTCCGGCGTTTTTCCTCTTTGTCGCCATCTCTGTTTGAAATCTGCAATTGCACGTATCAACTTTACGTGAGCTGTAGTTCAACACCCTCGACACGGCACCGCGCGGATGAACACAATGTTTGAGGAGACTGTGAGGCTGTCAGTCACCGCGCCGATGTGGAGACTGGCATTCAGAATCAGGGGCGGCGCCAGGGGGGGTCTTGGGGGGTCTCAAGACCCTCCCAAAAAATGCTTTGACCCCCCATTTGACCCCCCACCCCCTTCCTGATTAAAAAATATATATATCCCGGGATAAATATTTAAAAATGTTTATCTTCAAACTACGCAGAACATACAATAATAATTAATCATTTATTCGACATACAAAATATATAAACATAAGAATCACGTTCCCTCTAAGCTGCGCGCGTGCGCGGTCGTGCACTTCTGATGCCGCGGCCGCGCAGAAAAGAATAATATTCCACGAAGAGGACTGACGCGAAATGTGTGGGGAAATCCATTTGATTCTATGTGAGAAATAATTGCAGTGCTCAAACTGGTGAGTGCAGTTAACAGGTTTCAAAGAAAGAGAATGATGTGAGCGCGTGTGATTGGCAGTGATCGTGTGTGCGGACCAAATAGCCTATCTCAATACGAGTGGCGACGAGAAACGCAAAGACATGTGAAATAAAATCACAATATCATGTTTTAAAGAAGAGTGGTTTGATTAAAGTGGTGGAAATAACGGATGATGCACACAGAACGTAATTACACACACCCACCCGCGTGCAAACTCAAAATACATCATTAGTTTACATAGATTTAAATAGTTTCAGGCATGGTTAGATTAGGCTACTATAAAAGAGTTCACATATTGACTTTTCTTGAAAATATTTAGCTATTAGATCTAGCTATTTACAGTAAATGCTTCAGTTTGTTTTCATATTATAATAATATAATATGAAAACAAATTGAAGCATTTAAACTGATATATTATATCACTTCAAATACTTCAATTCATTTTTTATATTATATTATATTATATTAGGCATATATTTTATTATATTATAAGCCTAAATAAAGAATCTCACAAGGGTATTGTTTAGGGCTTATTGCCATTAAAAAGTTTGAAACCCCCTGCTAAAGAAAATATAGGCTAGGAAATTCATAAGCTATAAACAATCACTTAACTTTGATGGTTTAATGCTGCCTGTACAATTAATTGACTGTACAAAAACACTCTATGGTTTTCCTAAACCATCTCAGTGTAACAGCTTAATTTTCTTTCATAATATATTATATTATTGTAAATAATTGAACTGTCCTGCAGAAGATTTTGTAAATAATTGTTCATAGGATTTCTTAGTAAAGACTGGAAACAGAGGACACCGAGGAATTGGAGGATGAGGAGGATACTATTTTGTAAATATGTTTTCTGTCATCGGTGTGGCTATGGCAATTAAAGTTCGAGCATATTGTTTGCAAACTGCAATTGATTAATTAATTAAAAACAAAGTAGTTGATATGCTGTGTTGTTTTTGTTGTTAAGTAGCTGCAATATGCAGTTATTAGCCGTGTCCACTGTATTTTTTGTTGGTTTTCATAAGACCCCCCTTGAAATGACCAGGACCCCCCATTGCCCCCCCAATCAAAATTGTCTGGAGCCGCCACTGTTCAGAATCACAGATTATTCTTTTTGGAAGTTTGACCAACATTAGAATTTTCACCGGAAAATGTCATCTGAACTAGTAAGAAACATCCACTTTTGTTCTGGTTCTGACATTGCAGTAAATCGTGCTGATTAAATCTAACAATCGCTTATAAGTTATCATATCACGCAAAACCGTGCAAATTATACTTTGTTCTCAAATTGTTAATGTTAACAACGTCAGCATTGCGTGACTACATGTAATGTCCTTCCAATATGTATCCTTGTTTTCGCATGGGTCCGGTTGCAGTCTCTTTTTTTCTGTAGCCGCGCTGAAGTCCGAACGAAGTCTTTTGCATTTTACAGCGGGTGAATCTCTAGTTGTCACTGGTGATTGTCGTTTAAACCTTTCTGGATCCGCCATCAAATTGCTAAGTTTAATTATGCTGTGAGAAAAGGCTAAATTGCATGGCAATGCAATTGTACGGGATGGCTCCATCGTACCTCACGGACTTATTGACTGTCCATCAACCACCTAGAGCTCTTAGGTCTGCGAACCTAGGCCTTCTGGTGGCTCCGAGAACTAAACTTAAGACTAGAGGAGACAGGGCTTTCTCTAGTGCTGCTCCTAGACTCTGGAACAGCCTCTCTCCAGAAATCAGAGCTGCACCAACCCTGCTTATCTTTAAAGTGAGATTAAAGACATTTTTTTTGACCTGTCGTATGCAAACTAAAGGTTGAAGCAATTGCCCTGTGGTTGTTTTTATTTTAATTTACTATTTTCTGTGTACAGCACCTTGGTCAACGGAAGTTGTGTTTATGTGCGCTTTATAAATAAATTGAAATTGAAAATTGAAATTGAAATTAAATCTCCACCTCCAACATCCTCACACGCAATACAGCCTACTAGCCGAGACTCCTTCTTTATGTGTACAAATGTGACGTAATGACGCCAAGATATGCTCGAATCTCCCGCGGAAATCCACCAGTACCACTGGAATTAAAAACATTATTACAAGCTTACCGCTTGTATCGAGCTAAGGCAAGCAGATAGTTTTGAACACTGGCTGGTTATGTATTTTCTCAAATATGTATTTTGGATCATTTTTAACCCCAAAAAAGCTACGGACTGCAGCTTTAATCCGATCTGACGAAATTGAAATTGATTTCATGGTGGGAGGAACAATATGAATTGATCTTATAATGATAACATATAATTATAATTTAGAAAATATCATATTCTAATGTGATGGACTGGAAGTTAAATGATATGGCAAGAAAGTTTCCATTCTGGCTAAATGTGTGATTTTATTATACTATAACTTACTTAAAATGTATATTTTATTTTGTGTAGATATTTGTTATATTAATTTGAAACCATAGCATATTCATCAAGAGTAAAAAATCCCAAATGTCGTTTTGAATCTCAAGCAAATGTCATCAAAAATATTTTAATTTCAGAAGAACGGGCAGTAATGGATGTCACTTTGAAATGCACTCATATCTTTATTCAAATGATTTTTAATGTAACATTAAATATTCAGCATGATCTAATTAATACATAATTTTTAAAGAGCTTTATGCAACTACAATTTACCAATTTAAATTGTCACTCATGATGTCAAAGGGACTTTTTTATGACAAACACTTGAGAAATTCTTCCTCAGGTCAAAGGTCATAGAAGAAGTGAGTGACAAACAGTGAGTTTATTTACATTTATGCATTTACAGATGCTTTTATGCAAAATGATATTGCATTCAAAGTAGTTTGAGTTTGACTTGAGCTACAGTTTATCTATTAACTATTTTTGTGAAAAATATCAGAATTTTTTAAGGCCTTTTTGGTAGTTATGATGGATTGTTTGTCTTTGAAAATGTTTCACACAACCACATATAGTACAACATGCAGTGAAGATTTTTCGATTTTGCTCATAAAATAAACTTAACATTAGAATAACTTAGAGATAATTTTTTTTTAATAATTCTGAAATCAAGTAATATTTAGTGATATTAAGATCAACGGAAGCATCCTACCTTTATCTTGAAAATTAGCATGCAGTTCATCAGCAGTGTTATTAGCTCCCATTCATTTTTTATTGAAGTAAATAAAAGAGCAGGCTAGACATGTTTTAAATGCAGTATTGGATATGAGTTTGATTGCTGAATCACTTTCAGATGGAAATGCATGGTTGTACAGGTGCATGTATGGAAGTTAATTTAATCTCAGGGAGGGTCAGAGTCTTTGAATTCTCTTAGGGTTATATTGCTTTTACAAAGTGCTATTTTGAGTGTGTGTATACA